GGAGGACGAGGAGGAGGAGGAGGAGGAGGAGGAGGAGGAGGAGGAGGACGGCCCTCTCGTTGGGACTTCCTGGGAGCCTCCTCAGGGCATCTTGGCGGCAACTTGAGGTCCTCCTGAGGACTAGTGCATCTTGGCGGCAACTTGAGGTCCTCCTGAGGACTTGGGGGCCTCTTGGGGCTTCTTGGGCCGTATTAGAAGGCCTCTTGGCCTGGCTGACGCTTTCGGAGGCCGTCTTGGGGGCTTCACTGGGCCGTCTTGGTGCCAACCTGAAGCATCTTAGGGCCGTCTTGGGACCCTCTTGGGAGGCTCTTGGGCGATCTCGGGGTCCCCTTGGGCCGACTCGGGGTCCCATTGGGGGCCTCATGGGCTGTCTTCAAGCTATCTTGGAGGTCTCTTGGGCCGTCTTGGGCGGTCGGAAGCCCAAACGGGCAGAGAACATCAAAAGCCCTCAACAACCTAGGGAACATCAATGGCGTTTGCTTCTTCGGGCTCTCTTGGAGGGCCTCTCGGAGCCCTCTTTGGCCATCTTGGGAGCCTCTTGAGCTGTCTTGAGGCCGTCTCGGGAGGAGGAGGAGGAGGAGGAGGAGGAGGAGGAGGAGGAGGAGGAGGGAGGGCGATTTTCGGCAGGTGCGCGAGACGCGGGGGGGGGGGGGGGGGGGGAGGGGCGGCCCTAGAACACTAAAGAAGCCTCCCAGACAGCAGCAAGCATTTCAACACGTCCGCAGGGCACCAGTCTCGGTGGCGGATTGGTCCCGGGCCACGGGCCTGGAAATTATGGGATCCCTTCGAAACATGCGATGGGATCGCGTGAGTGAGCGTCGAGACCAGGCCAGAGTGGAGGAGGGGGAGGGGGAGCGGAGGTGAAAGAGGAGGTGAACGGGGAGGAAGACATGAGGAGGTGGATGGTGGAGGAGGAACACGTGTAATGGCAGGGAATTGTGCAGGAGGAGGGGGTCGAGGAGGGAGAGGGGGAGCCCTGGCACTCTGGAATCCCCGGCCACCCCCAGGAATGACGGGAAGCGCCCCTGGCGTGGAAATTTGTTGGTGGCAAAAATTACTAATCGGGCACGCGCCGCACTTTGAAACTGCGCTGGCGTTTTTTTTGTTTGAAAAAATTGCCGTTTATTTCGAGACATCCTCCAAAAATCGGCCCAAGAGGGGACTCCGCATCGACGTCGTGTTCGAATCGCTTTTGGAGTGTCATCCAACGGCCCAAGGGAGGCCCAAAAGACGCCCCGAAGAGCCCCAGGAGCGCCCAAGAGCGCCCCAAGAAGACCCCAAGAGACCCCCAAGAGCGCTCTAGGAGCCACCCAGACAGCTCACAAGAACCCCAAGACGGCCCAACAAGAAGGGCCAAGAAGGCCCCAAGACACTCCCGGGAGCGTCCCAGGAGGCCCCCAACGCCGAGACGGCCTAAGAAAGCTCCCACAGAACCCCACGACGCGCCCAGACAGCCCAAGAAGACCCCAGAAGCCCATAAGAGGACCCAAGGGGCCCCCAAGAAGCCCCCAACAGGCCCCAAGAGAACCCCGCGCGGCGCCAGGAGCAACGTCTTTCTCCAATTGCCTCGTACTGTCCTCTGTCGTCGTCGTCGTCGTCGTCGTCGTCATCATCGCCCTCCGCATTCCTCCTCGTAATCGCCCTCGTTCTCTTCGTCCGCGTCCTTGTGCTTCTCTTCCTCCTCGTTGTCCTCATGCTCCTCCTCGCTATCCTCACGTTCGCCACGTCGTCCTCGTCATCGACTCCTCGTTGTCATCGCCTTCCTTTTCTTCTTCGCCCAATGCGCCCATTTGACTACAGCGGCGCTTCCCGTTCTTGTCCGATCAGGTTCGTGCATCTTCCAACCTCCTTCAAGCCTGTCTTCTGTCGTCCTCCCCGAAAGCGAGGGAGTGAAAACAAGGCGCATGGTTATGCTCTTCTTCTTCGTCTCCTTCCTCCTCCTCCTCCTCCTCCTCCTCCAGAGTCCTTTGGAAAATTGCAGACACCCCCACTGCCACTGCATTTAGAAACTGTTGTAAGCCTCTTCCGAACACGTATCCTCCGACCCCCCCCGGAAGCATCCAAAAAAAGACGCCGAGCGCACGAGAACGGCGCTCGAACGCCACAGGCCCGAGTAGGAACATGCTCGAGCACGTCCTGCCCACCTCCTCCCTGCCTCGCCCCCGCCTCGCCCGCCTCCTCTCCTTGCGCGGCGGCGGTGGGGGCGGCGGCGTCGGCGTGGGCGACGACGACGACGAAAACGACAACGACGACGACGACGACGACGACGACGACGACGACGACGACGACGACGACGACGACGACGACGACGACGGCAACGGCGACGGCGACGGCGACGGCGACGGCGACGGCGACGGCGACGGCGACGGCGGCGACGACGGTCCGCTCTGCCGGAAGCGGCGGGCTTCCAGTGGCGCCTCTTTGGGGCGCCCGGGCGTGGCGGTGGCCGCTCTCGCGAGGGCGTCCCGCCCGAGAGGTGAGCCCTTGGTCGCCGCTGGGGAGCGGGGGCCTCGGCCGCCCCTTCGGGGGGAGGGGGGCTTGTTCTCCGCTCTCCTCCTCCTCCTCCTCCTCCTGCTCCTCCTCCTCCTCCTCCTTTTCGACGTTGCGCGGAAATACGTAGATCAGCGGATCGTTTAGTCTTGATCTCCTCCTCCTCCTCGCCTCCTCCTCCTCCTGCTCCTCCTCCTCCTCCTCTGCCTGCCCCTCCTCCTCCTCCGCCTCCTCCTCCTCCTCCGCCTCCTCCTCCTCCTCCTCCATTCCTTTTCCTTATAGATAACTTCTCCCTGTCGCACCCCGAGGCCAGTTTTTAGGGCGGGCCGGGCGTTTCGCCTCAGACCTCCTCACCATTTATCAATCCCATGTTTCAAAATTGCAGCAGGTTCACAGATGGAGGGCGGGTGTTTTTCAATTTGCGGCTCTCGCCTTAGCGCGGCGCACATTCGTTTGCATAAACTGCACGAGCTCCACAGATTGAGGGCGGGTCGATTTCAAAATGTTGTTCTCGGTCAGCGCCGCGCGCATCCCTTCAATTTTTTGCAAGGGTTTCACAGATTGAGGGCGGTTCGATTTCAACATGTTGTTTTCGTTCAGCGCCGCGCACATCCGTTTCAATTGTTTGCTAGGGCTTCACGGATTGAGGGCGGGTCGTTGTCAAACTGTGGTTCTCGCCTTAGCGCAGTGCACATACGTTTTAACCATTTGCAACAGTTTCACGGGTTGAGGGCGAGTGGCTTTCAAATTGTGGTTCTCGCTTTAGCGCGGCGCACATTCGTTTTTAGGCAAGAGATTCACGGATTGAGGGCGGGTCGTTTACAAAATGTGTTTCTCGCTACAACGCCGCGCACATCCGTTGTATAATGTTGCAAGAGTTCCACGGATCTCCATCACCAACGTACCAGAAACAGTGTTTTGGAATTGCGTGTTGAAGTCCTAGGAATGTCGTTGTGGCACGATCCAGGATCGTCAAGACGCAACAGTCAGGTGGATTCATGGCGTTGGAATCCCGAGGCAATTTTTTGAGAACGTTTCAGGGCCTTCAAACGGGTGTCTTCCAACGGGGCAGTTCCATCAATGGAAATTCACCGTTGGATGGGGCCTGCGAAAGGGCAGCTTGGAGGAAAGGTTGTACTCCCAACATCGTTGATGACCAAGGAGCTAGAGGACAATCTCCGGAGAACGCAACGAAAAATGCTCCGCATGATTGCGCGCTGCAGCAGGAGAGTTCTTGAGCCAGGCGCACCAGGACCCAGTTCTTCTTCTTCGTCTTCACATTCATCATCTTCTGTTATGTCTACGACTGGCCAAGGTGTGGAGTTGGAGCCTTGGCAAGATTGGATTCGTAGGGCGACGAGAGAAGTCGAACGCCACATGTCTAGACTGAAGCTACGAGATTGGGTCAGTGAACACCGCAAAGCGGCAGTTCTTTGGCTTGGGCGAGTGCGCTCGGACACCGGATCTTGGGCACGTTTTGCCTTCGACTGGAATCTTGACCGCCACGTTCGGCGACCGGGCCGGCCTTTCAAGCGCTGGTTGGAGACGACCGAGAAATTCCTGATCTTCAAGAACTGAAGGTGCCGAGGCGCCCCCGCGCCGCCCGTCTCGGGACGGCCTCCGGGCCGATGGTGCGCGTCTTGTCTTGTCTTGGGTTTACATTGGTCCTCCTCCTCCTCTTCTTCCTGGTCCTGCGATATTCCTTCCCATCCTCTGTAGCAGTTCGTTGCTTGCGAGAGGAATGTGGCCAGGGCGCTCCAAGGCGGCGAAGGACTTCAGGGCCCCCCAGCCGCCAAGCGGCCACACGAAGGCAGGACTCCATATATCCACCTCAGGGCATTGTTCACCCACGGGGAACATCCTCCGTAGCAGTTTAGGTTCAAGCCGCGGGACCTCGACGGCTTGAGCTTGATCGCAGCCGTGCGGTCTGGGCCAAGGCTGTCTGCCTGATCCATTATACTCCTCACGGTCCCTACAGTGAGCCGCCAGGCGGCGATGCGCTTTCGGCCGCGCCATTTTTGTCAGCGGCGATTGCGCGCGTCACTCCAGTCATGCCGTATAGAGGTGGCGGCCCACTGGGAGATGGCGCGCCAAGGATCAGCGCCTCCGTGCCCTTTCGCCTCCTCTTCTTCCTCGGCTCTTGAAGCTGATCGAGGTAATAGTCGCCGTGAGTATGATTGACGTCGTGACGACTACAACTCGGATTCGCGTGATTCTCGTGCCCGCTCAGGTCTCAGCACGGAGGCTGCCAACCGGCTTGGTTGGCCAAGCTCGGGAAGAGGGTCGAAAACCAGACAGAGACGATCATATACCTCGAGCAGAATGCGCGCTGACGTGCTCGCGCTCAAGCAGGACGTCTTCCTCCACACGCAGCAGATCAACGATCTGAACACCAAGCTCCAGCAGTCGTCCAAGTTCAGGCTGCCGACGTGGCCACCATCGTCGAGTTCTCTTTGAGGAGTCTCTCGCGGTCCGCTTTTCCAAGGTCGAGTCCATGATCACAGCCCTGCAGGAGCGTCCTGCCCCTCCTCCTCGTGCTTCTCCTGCTGCGTGCGGTGCTGGCCATGTTGATGCCGAGCAGCATGGAAATCGAACCCAGATCTGGATTGGCAGCTTCCATCGCCCGCTATTGAAGTAGGTGTTGGGTTGCTGCGCAGAGCAGTTTCGAAGGATCCTGCGGTGCAGTACTACAACTACGGACGGGAGCGCACATCAGACGGGATCGCCGAGGCATTGATACAACTTCTCAAGCTAGGCAGCGAGGCCTCCGCGAAGTGGTTTCTAGATCCGGCCAAGCAGGTCGGCCCAACATGGTTTGACGCAAGCAGTCGACGCTGATTGAGTTCCGAGCCATGTTTGACGCCCCTGCCGCCAATCGAGCTAAGCACCGTGTGTTGGATCAGCTTTTGCGGATGTGCATGGATCTCTGGCGCCTTCAGGGGCGTATATTGTTCCCAGTGGTAGACGAGACCTACGATCTGGTTCACCTCCGCATTCAAGATCGTGACCAGTGGACTCCTCGAGCCTTCCAGGTTGCGAAGGAAAAGGCCGACCCGATGACTGATACCGCCCTTGCTGCTGTGCAATAGGGATGTAGAACGTTGCTCGAATTCATGCTTGGAAGGGATGCTGACATCGTGCTGCCGCGGGGTGGTGGGGGGGCATGCACACAGGCCGACCTGCTGCGCGCATGCCCGCAAAGTGTTTCATAATGAGTTGCAGTTGTTCAGAATGTTACCAGCACTTACTACCACTAATACGAAAACTGCTAGTACTACGGCTACGACTGCTGCTGTTACGACTACGACTATTACTACTACTACTGCTGCTACTGCTACTACTGCTACTACTGTTACTACTACTACTACTACTACTACTACTACTACTACTACTACTACTACTCCTACTAGAATTGTGATTATCATTACTACGGCTGCTACTACGACGACGACGGCGACGACTACTACTACTACTACTACGACTAGTAATAATAGTACTAATAATAATAATAATACTCCTCCTCCTACTACTAATACTACTGGTACGGCTACTACTAACTGCTACTACTACTACTACTACTACTACTACTACTACTACTACTACGACTACTACTCCTACTACTATTACTACGACTACTACTACTACTACTACTACTACTACTATTTCTACTACTACTACTACTACTACTACGACTACTACTGCCACTCCTACTCCTACTACTACTACTACTACTACTACTACTACTGCTACTAGCACTACTACTACTCCTACTACTACTACTACTACTACTACTACTACTACTACTACTACTACTACTACTACTACTACTACGGCTACTACTACTTACTACTACTACTACTACTACTACTACTACTAACGACTACTACTACTACTACGACTACTACGACTACGACTACGACTACTACTACTACTACTACTACTACTACTACTGCTACTGCTACTGCTACTGCTACTACTACTACTACGACTACGACTACGACTACTACGACTACTACTACTACTACTAATCCTACTGCTACTACTACTACTACTACTACTACTACTCTTATTACTACTACTACTACTACTACTACTACTACTGCTGCTACTACTAAGGCGACTAATATTATAATTCTTACTGATACGATTACTACTACCACTTTTTATGACTAATAGTTTTACGCCGACTCTTGCTATGACTTCTGCGGGTGTTTTCTACCAATCGCACTACTATGACTACTGCTGCTACTACTACTACTACCACTACTACTACCATTACGACTACTACTACTACTACTACTACTACTACCACTACTGCTACTACTACTGCTACTACGACTACTACTATTATTACTACTACTACACCTACTACTACTACTACTACTACTTCGGCTACTACTACTACTACTACTACCACTATTGTTGCTGCTGCTGCTACTAGTAGTTGTTCTACTGCTACCACTACTGCAACTACCACCAGTACTGCAACTATTCGTATTACGTTTACGATTTCGACGACTTCTAGGGGTACTACTATTGCTACTCCTGTGAGTACAACGATTACTCCTACTCCTACTCCTGCTACTACTGCTACTACTACTAAGCTTGCCACTGTTCCTACTGCTTCTACGACTACGCTATCTAGTACCGGTACGGATACTGGCACTACTACTACTACTACCACCACTACTTCTACTACTACTACTACTACTACTACTACTACTACTACTTCTACGACTACTACTACTACTACTAGTACTACTACTGCTACTATTACTACTACTACTACTACTACTACTACTACTACTACTACTACTACTACTATTACTACTACCACTACTACTACTACTACTACTACTACTACTACTACTACTAACAACTACTAATACTACTACTACCACTACTACTACTACTACTACTACTACTACTACGACTACTACTACTACTACTACTACTACTGCTACTACTACTGCTACTACTACTACTACTACTACTACTACTACTACTTACT